ATATATGCATGGAGGAACTGCAAAATTTTAGTACAGGGTACAGGAAAAGTTAATATAAGTTTAAGTTTTAAATTCCATCGAAGTATGTAAATAAATAGGAATCACCAAAGGAGTGTTAATGAATGAATTGCAAATGACTTACGTCTTGGTCACAGTTTACTTGTATTATTTGTAATTTCAAATACGGGAATATAATTTAAGTAATAATGTTGGCAAACTTACTTAATTATTCTTCTACCTCATACCTCTGAGTTTTAAATTCTACTCCCCGAGAATCCATCCTGAATGGTTTTATGCTGCAGAAAATGCTCTAGATAGTTTTTTTTCGTAAATCCTTCTCTATCAAAGGTGCAATATTGGAAAACACTCCTTTTTCTATCCATGAGTGTCCAAGTGCAGTTCCTTTAAATCTCGACTTTAGAAGCATCTATTTTCACTACTATCTTCTGATACTTGCAAAGGTATACTTGCAAATATATATATAAATATATATTTTAATGTTTTTTTTTTAATATTCCAAATGAAAGTCTACATTTTCTATCTTATACATTTATTTGTACCATACAAGTATATATATTTTTTCTTTTTCTGGTTTATACATACCTACACTATAATTAACGCTCTTGTTTATCAAAGAAGTTTCTGACAGAGATCTCTTTTTAGAGATAATTTATCCTTTGTGCATTATATTTCTTTCAATTATTACTTTTTGTAATTTGCTGGTAATAAAACTGTAAAATGGTATAATTGTATATTATTTTATATGTACTAAATATTCCATAAATCCTACTTACCTATTTATAGTATAAACGTACAACTATTTACTGGATGTATTAATGTTTATTGCTCTTTCCATAAATTACGCTTAACATATTTTATTGAAAATTATTAATAAGGTAGCCAAGTTATAAGAATAACATATAGGCTATAATTAAGCCCGTCTATCCTTGTAGTTTTGCACATAAGCAGAAACGCATCAAAAACAATTGCTTTTAATAAAAAGTTCCGTGATAAATACAATAAATCTCTAATGGTTGGTGAACATACGTATGTATGTATATATAGTATTAAGTACACATAACTCTTTCTCCGAATAAAATACTGAAAACAATACAAACAAAAACTAGTAAAATGGATAAATTAGTATATTTTTATATCACTGTGTTTCTAGGATTATTTTATTGGTCGCTATTGTTGAATCTTATAACAATGTATAGACACACGATATTATCGTCCAATAATATTCTTGAAAATAGTTACTAAAAATCAGCGTTATATACATTTTTGGTAATATCCTTCGCTTCCCAATTTTCACAAACTAATAGCTGAAACCTTCATAGTTATTATATCTTATAAAATTTAATTAACAAGAAAATTAAGGTGTGACCCAGATTCATAGACTTTTTACGTTCTAATGAGTAGGATGGTAAAGGTTATATAAATATAATATATATATATATGTAACCACTAAGAATCATTAATTAAACTATTGTTAAACTTCTTATTATGTATCACGTTTAAATAACATATGTACGTCGCGTGATATGCTGCATCAGAGAATGAGCTTTATGCATTTGCATCACAGACAATAGACGTCGGATAAAGTTGCCTTTTTATTTCACTATAATTCAAACTAGTCTGAATCTTAATTAAAAAGTAACTTTTATTAAATTTCTTTTCTCTCTATACCCATACATAATGAAAGATAATTAAAGATTGATAATTTAGATGCTAACTTGGTCGTTCGAGTTTAGTATTTTCCTTAAATATTAATAGAGTCAACTGTATGTAAATAATTTTGATATACAGGCAATTCCAGACTCGAGCAAACAAATAATTAGACTTATCAGTCCGGAGTTAGTAGGTCTGTTGCTAGTTAATAGTTAGAATTGCTTTGGTTGAACAGAGTAATTCTGCAGATCTAGATATATAATCAAAGTTATATATACAATATATATAGCGATTCGTCTAGTACTAGTCTATTTCTATGACTGTAAAATTTATCCCAGAACTTAAGTTAACTTATTTCCTATTAAAATATGGGTTCATTTTACTTTTAAATGTCTCAATCAGAGTGAAAGCGGCTCGATAATATTTAACATATCAATTACACATACAATTTCGGTGACATTATGCTGAACTTTAACTACATAAGAGTATAAGTTGAAAATATTAAGCAGTACATACTATTTTATATAGGTTATTTGAAGTAAGATCTCATCTGTGTCTTTAGAATTGAGATGCCACAGATAACAAGTGCAACTTAAGATTGAAACTAGGTGAGTTTATTTCTAAATAAAGTTAGAGGTTTATTAAGAAGTGTTACCGAAGTATATTAATATTTTTTTTACTACAAAAACTTACGATATTGAAGTTTTTATGATTATTTCAACTTCATTTTAAATTTTCACGGCCTTTTATTTTGAAATATGTCAATTTAAATATTGAAATCGCATATATATATTTAACATTTGAGATATTTATTTGAAAAATATTATATTTTAAGTACAAATTCAGCTAAATCAATTAATTCAATATAATAAGTATGTCTTTAGTTGTACATATAATCTTAGTTACCATATACTCGTATGTAATTTAATGCTCACATCAATTCCACTGATCCAAAAGCTATTGATCTCTAAAGCAAATTAATCTTTAGAGCCTCAAGGCATTACTTCCTCAAATATAATTAATGTTTGTTACAAATATAATTAATTGTAATTATACTCCACGGCTTTGGATTACTTATCAAGGAACATTCAAAACCAAGCAACTCTGGCCCGTATATTCTTATTACAAATAAATTATAAGATGGATATTACCTTAATCTCTTGAAATATATAGAAGCAAGTATATATATATATATATATATATATATTTTATGTTAAAGGTGGCAAACGAGCAGACGGCCCACTTGATGGAAAGTGGTTACCGTCGCCCATGGACATCCACAACATTTTGTTGCGGATGCGTTGCCAACCTTGTTTTTTGGCGATAGGGAGGGGAGGGAATAAGGAAATGAAGGGAAAGGGTAGGAATAGGGAAAGGGCAACCGGCTCTCTCACTCATCAGACGAAACGCAGCCGGTAAAGGCTACTTCACGCCGATCTTCTGTGAGAGGGTGGTACTTCCCCGGTCGAGCCAGCCCATGTTCGAGCTGCAGTAACTCACCACAGCTAGGCTCTACCACCTCTATATAAATATATATATATATATATATATATATATATATATATATATATATATATATATATATATATATATATATATATATATATATATATATATATATATATATATAAATATAAATATAAATATAATGAACACTACGAGGTTTTATGATTTCAGAATGATTCGTTTTATTCTGTAACTTTTAAAACAAGAAATGACTTATTAACTTATCTATTATTGATTTTTCATTATCATTTCCAATTTCTTATCATAAAGTTTAAATTGAATACGCTCTTTTAATATCCCCTATAGAATAATTTTCCGAAGTTACACAGTAATTGCTTACGATCCATGAAAGTTTCACTTTTCTTTTCACATCACAAATCACATGAAATTACTTCTTGACTTCTTTGAATTACTGATATTTTTGTGCCTGAATTCTTATCATTTAACTTTTGTGGATACCATTTATTATTGTGACATTTTATATTGAATATGAAGGTGATATTTTTTGCCATAACAATGTAAAGGTGTAAGGCAAAATTTTGGTCTCGAATGCACCAAAATTTTATTTATACAAGATTGAAATATACATATTTTGTAAATAATAAAGCATACATATGTAGTAATTTTTTCCAACCGCAAACACTTCGTGTTCTTATCATCTTGACACTATTTTTTTAATTCAATACATTTTTTAAATATTGAGATAAGAGGAATAAATAATAAAAGAAAATTTTCACTAATTTAGAATAATTTTATCTAATTAAATCGTTCGTATTATTTAGGACAATTAACGCCGGAAGGCTATATAGTCTTAATTGCTGTCAGAATCAATAAACTTTGGAGGATTTTAATGAAGGAAACTTATACTTATTTAACAAGCATTTTATATTATCTGTTATATCAAATTCTCTACTGAGCTAGTAACAAATATATATATGATTAATATTATATATTCTTTGACCTGAAACATGTTTTTATAAGGCATATTATGGAGATATTCTATATAATTATTATATTAGACCACTATAATTTTGTTAACTAGCTGTTACATTTGCGAGTACTGACTAAAAGGATATTACGAGTATCATAAAAATTTCTGACTATCTCAAGTTTAAGAAGATGAAGGTTATCGATTTATAAAATGATTATCATAAACAATAAGCACCCCTAACATTATTTTGGATCTACTGCCTTTTATAAGGTGAAATTTAGAAAATGTAGGTGGTAGAGCCTAGCTGTGCTCAGGTAACTATAGCGCGAACATGAGCTGGCTTGATCGATTAAGTACCACTATATCACAGAAGATCGGCATGAAGTAGCCTTTTATGGCTGGGTTTCGTCCGATGAGTGAGAGATCCAGTTGAACTTTCCTTTTTTCTCCCGTTCCTCCCGCTCGGATATTGAGGAGTACAATATCCGGGTAGAGGAAAGGGATAAGAAAGCGACTTTCTGTACAGCATGAGCTTTATTTTATTTTGAGGTGTTGAGCGTGTTTCATTGACATAGGGTCCAGGGAGACCCTGCAACAGCAAGCGAGAACAGGGCCTATCCTCACCCCTTGCCAGCGATACACAAAACAGTACTCTCAGTTCAGAGTCTGAGCAGAGAGTACTTCCATCAGGTAGGCCGTTTACTCGTTTGCACCCTTTAGCATAAAAAAGAAAATGAAAAAAAATACAGATGGCAAAAGAACATTCGGCTCTCAAACTCAAGATAAATTACTTCTCATATATTTTTTTTCAAGAATATTTATTTTATTGGCCAGACCAGCCTACATTTTAGGTGTAGAATATTCTCCTCGATATTAAAAATGCAATTTCCTACTACGACTTACAACTTCTTAAAACCATATTTCAAAATATAATTTATAGATAAAAACAAGAAACTAAGAATTAAAAATAATATTTTATTAAAATCCATACAAAATTATACGAAATAAGCATCGACAGTGAATCTACACACATTCTTGCTGATTCTGTCTGTGCTTTTAATATCACCCGTACATAAATTCTCTTCGCAAAAACATGTGTCAGTTCCACGTGAACAGCAGCCTTTTATATTTAGACAATTACATTGTTCATTCGGAACACAGGCTATAACGGTTTGAGGTCCTTCATTTTGTTTAGCTTGAAAGGTTTTAGACGCAAAGTATACCTAGAACAAAGATATTTAAATTATTATCGTGTTTAAACTAAATAGAATTTGAAATATTCTTTTTATTGAATAATAATATTTATAACATATATTATATTGTTACTGTTACTACTGCTAACCCTTTTCTTTCTTTTTCGTCTTATCATAAGCCACTTTGGTCTTCTAAAATAACACGTACACCCACGTCTTCTTGTACGAAACTGAGCAGAGTTTTGTAATTTTAATACTGTTTTATTGTACCCTTCATTACAGGAACAAGATAAACCTATAACAATGTATTCCAATAATAATTCAATACAACTTTATCAATTAATGAAAATAAAATATTAATTTACCCATAGCTATGTGCGTAACATTTTTTTGATGTATTGTTCAATCATCATTTTCTGAGCCTACTTGAAATAATTTTACGACATCGACGACAAACATATTCAGATTAAATTTTATCAGATATTTATATTGCACATAATGTAATACAATGTACTTTTATATTTTCATCATTTGATCAACTTGAGATGTATTTTAATGACAGAAAAGCAAAATTTCAATTGAAATACACGATTTTATTCACTTTAATTTAAAACATAATTCTACGCAGTCCCTTGAAATTCCCTATTCCACCGCTGCAATTTAAACTTAAAACAAGCAGTGGAACTACATCAACAATAGTATAACTATTTGTTAACTGAACTTTGGAATTGCTTCCATACTGTGATCATTCGGTCTGAGAGAACGTAGAACCAAAGTCAGTGGTGACCTAGTGGTTAACAGGCCCGCCTCTCATGCTCGAGGGCGCGGGTTCGATCCTGGCCCGGGTGATTTTTTCGTACGTACGTACTTTCTAAGAGTATTTAGATATCACTGATTAATGCATTTACAAAAGAGGGTTGATGTCAGGCAGGCGGCCGGTCGTAAAAACAATTAGCCAAAACTATTCACAACTTGTAAGGCAGACCCTGGCTAAAGCCGGGAAATTACCAGGTAGAAGAAGAACCGAAGAATAGGGTTTCGTAAATATTTTTTGATAGTAGTACATAATTACAACAAACGAAAGACCAACTCGAGGGAATCAGAAAGGTGAATATGATCTAGCTGCTACTTTACTTTAAACTCCTACCACAGATTGAGATTTTTATCAAGTAATGTTTATTTTAATCATCAATTTAGCCATTCATAAAATACAATACATATATGATATACATAAGGTCGACAGTAGCTTAGATAGAAGTTTCTTAATAATAAATAATAAAAATCACTTATGGTCGCTTACATGAATCATGACATCTTTTACACATACCTATATAAGTAGATTTATTCATTTAAATTGTGTTTTTTTATTTCATTGGTTGAAATGATATAAATTTGATTTTGAGGTTTTTTTTTGTTTATATCGAATCTAGAACATTTTGTCTTGAAACACAAATCACGGATGGGATAGTATTACTTCACGTACAACCAGATTTGCGCTTGATAGAAATAGGATAGCTCCTTTGCTGGCAAGAATACTGAATGTGCTTGAAGCTGCCATGACCCCGAAAACAATGAAGTAGAGAAACGGTTTCTTGAAACTTTTTTAAAGGGGGTTAGAACTAGGAATCGACTATAGTCTGACTCTTCGTTATAGCGTTTCAAGGTTACCCTAAAAGTTGGTATATCTTAGTCGATCCTCCGGGTCTCGTTTTAGTCGAAATTTTATTAACCCTAATAACGCATTACTGTTATAAATACGCTTAAAGCCTCAAAGTCGGGAGTTATCCACCTCTGAGTATCTCAATAGAATTTTCTAATACCCTATTTGTACTATTAAAAATCATAATGTTCCAATTGCCTTTCAAAATTTCACCTCTGGAATTTACAGTCTAGTCTAGTTATAGTCAAATCAAGTAGGATGAAGTTTTGTTTTATGAACTACATATATCTCTAGTGACTCACAAATTACCACGGCTGAATCTAGCTGATATAAAGTGTAGTTTTGTTAAAGTAAGTAATTATAACTATTAATTTAAGTGCAAGCTAAGTCTAAATTGTCTTACAAATTAGTAATTGGTTCTTATGACCACCAAAAACCAACAATTTATTAATTAGGTAAATAGTATCTGATGCTTTTAAAGGTTCCGTAGAAATCAATTCTAATTAATTATTGTTGTTGAATAGCATACAATATGATCAATTAATATAATAACAAGATATAACCATGTTTTTACTGTTATCAAATAATTCATGGCTCATTTATTTTATATGTGAAATGTTGTTACATTTCGGACACTGTGTTCACATTTACAAGTTAAACATAGGAGCGTTGCTGACTGAAGCAACATAATATGCATGGAATTCTAAACTTTTAAATAGGGACCAAATTGTTAAGAAATTATTATTTTTGTTCAGAAAATTCTCAAGCGATGTTAAATAAAGAAGTATATAAGAGTATTTGTTTAATTAAAACTATATCTTACGTTTAAATACTATTTTATACATTATACATTTTGCTTCAATTCAAATATTTCTAAGTCAGAGGTATTATATAGTATAAAATAAAATGCTGTTTTCAAATTTTTAACTCTGTAATATACAATTTAGGAAGGAAGCTAATATGATAATGAATACTCTCTATTTGTTGGTTTTTATTGTTTATTAATTCCTAAATTCAATTCTGACTCAATAGTATCGTTCAGAAATATTTTCTCCTTAATAAGATGCTACCATTAAAATTAGTTTTTTAATGTTACCATCTGACTCAGGGCGTGCGAGATACTTATTACAATTTCAAAATAATCAAAGAGCAGATAAATATTTCTTAAAAAATATATTTGTAAAATAACCAAACGTTATAATAATTTGCTACAATATACGAATTTTCTTTGTCAATAGCCCTTAAAATAAACCGTTTTGCTAAAATAATAGAGTTCCACAAGTAATTTTACATTACCTGATTCAAACAGCTGCTTATAGTATGTCATACATGCGCAAAGCGCAATGTTATTATGACATGGTCGCAGTAACACTGAGATTTGAATAAAAATAATGTTGGAAAATTGTTTTCATTGAAACATAATGCAGTACTTACAGTTTGTCTAAAATCACGCGATAACCAAGTGTATAAATTGATGTTGTATTGTTGTCTTGTCGTCACTAAAATAAAAATTAAATTAGTTGATTTGTTTTATGCAAATATTAAAATTTCAGTCAGTGGTGGCCTAGTGGTTAAGGGGCCCGCCTCTCGTTGCCGAGGGTGCGGGTTCAAACCTGGCAAGTACCAATGTGATTTTTCGAAGTCATATGTACTTTTTGAGAATATTTAGACATCACTGATATATACGGTGAAGGAAAATATCGTGAGGAAACCTGGACTTATAGTTTCAAAATTATAAGTTTGAAATCACCAACCCGTCTTGAGCAAGCGTGGTGATTAATGCTCAAACCTTCTCCATGTGAGAAAGAGGCCTTCGCTCAGCAGTGGGCGTCTGATAGGCTGACGATGATGATGATGATTAAAATTTACAATTTCAATTGTTTAATACCGCTCTTTTTTTATTTCACTGTATAGTTTTCGACTGACATTCAATAGTAGGCTGAAGTAGTTGGTATTTATAAAATATTACAATAAAATATTTAGGTGTATATTTAAAGCTGTTATTAAGGATTCTTTGTTTTAAAAGATAGTCCCTCATATTTTGGTTGGGTTTCAGGGTTAGCCCAACTGTCTGAATATTTCCGACGTATATTACTAAAACCTAAAGGAAGACAAATTATAATACTTTGAAACATTGCCACATTCCTTGAAAATATCGTCAATAAGCAAGTTTGTATATTTGTACATACAATTCCTTTATACTTAATTACAGTTAATTTTTTTTACCATACATTTACTACATACATGAATCTCAGAGTCTATCTATCACCTGACTATTCAAGAATAATCCATTTTAAGATCGAATTGGGATAAAACGTTACAATAATTAGTTAATTTCAGGGGAGATTTTATTTATCTTTTACTCTTAGGAATATTAAATAAATTGTCATTGAATACTATGCCATAAAATTTATAACTACATAAAAAATTTATGTATTACATTTTTTTTGTCGATATTCTTTCTATTTCTTATGCGGAATAAATTATCTTTATAAATTTTTGTTTGACAATCTTCAAAGTTAAATATCTGTTAAATTCGACTGACATAGGTATAACATTGATGCAAATCTAGATTACGAAGATTCATGTGAATCAAACAACCGAAATTGGCAATAGATGAGAAGATATGGTTATACGATTGCCAATTTGTTGAAATTAGAATTACAGGTTGATTATAAAAGGATTTCAGTATCAAGAAAGTGTTTTAGTTTCTTAATATATATCTTCTTCTTCTACCTTGGCAATTTCCCAGCTATAGCCAGGGTCTGCCTTACATATGTTGTGAATAGTTTTGGCTATTTGTTTTTACGACCGACCGCCTGCCTGACATCAACCCTCTTTTTGGGAATCAACATTAATCAGTGATGTCTAAATAGTCTTAGAAAGTACATATGACTCGGAAAAATCACATTGGTACAGGCCCGGGCCAGGATCGAACCCGCGCCCTCGGCAACGAGAGGCGGGCCCTTTTATCACTAGGCCACCACTGACTTACTATATATCTATCATACACAATTAAGTGATTAAAAGAAATGAAAGTTTTGTATAGTTTTATTTTATTTTACTTTATTTTTAATTTAATTTTTATAAAGTTTATGTCGTACATAGTTTGTCAGATACAAATGTGAATCAATTCTTTCGTGTTATTGTGATTTGATTGAAGATAATCTTTCAACAGAAAATTGAAAGTTTATTATTATAGTTATTAAATAAGTTTGGAAACACACACTCTTCTATTTAAGTTATGATACATCTATGTAGTTTTGACATCACAGTTTCTTAAAGAACACATTTGGTCAAAGGATATATTTTATTATCACAATGAAACCAATATCTTTAAATGGTATTGCATAATGTAAACACACCTAAACACGGTTAAAATTTCCCGAAGCTTCTTGATTGCAAAAGCATTTATGTCATTTCTATCTCACTTTTAATTACCTTAAAAAAGATATCAATTATTTTAATTTATGAATAATTTAATGTATTAAACACAAAATCCTTTTACAGTAACTTTAAGGATAAAAAAATAGAATTAATAATAGGAACAGTTATATCAGATTTTTTATGATAGAAGTTAATTATAAATCTTATATTTACGAGTATGTATAAGAAGTTACGTATACAGAAATTTGTATACAAAAGATAATTAAGCCCTATATAATAAAACATTCCGCTAGACTAACGTAAAATGTTCTCAAGATATTAG